GTTGCTCGACGTAAACTTCTTCTTCAAGTAAGCCATTTAAGAATGCGCTTTTTAATTCCATTTGGTATACTGTGAAGTTCTTGTAGGCTGCATATGCTAGGAAAATTCTTATTGCTTCGAGTCGTGCGACGGGGGCAAATGTCTCATCAAAATCTATGCCTTTTTCTTGCGAGTACCCCTTTGCGACTAATCTTGCTTTATTCCTAACAATGACGCCGTCTTCATTTGCTTTGTTCCTAAAGACCCATTTGGTGCCGATTACATTTTGATGCTTTGGTCTTGGAACAAGTTCCCATACGTCGTTTCGCTTGAATTGATCCAATTCTTCTTGCATTGCATCTATCCAACTTAGATCGGCTAGAGCTTCATCAATTTCTTTTGGTTCAAGTTGTGATAGAAAACATGAGAACATTGCATGTTGGTCCCTTGTAGATGATCGTGTTCTAACTCCGTCTCTTGGATTTTCAATGACTAAGTCATGTGGGTGACTTCTTAGCCACGTTCGATTTGGTTGTAAACTCATTGGGTTCTCAGAGTTTCCTTCTTGTTGAAACACCATTTGTTGGATTTCCTCTTGTTGCGAATTGTTGACGGGTATTTCTTCGGATTCATCTACTGGGATTTCTTCCATTTGAATTTCGGGTGCCGTCACGGTTGGTACTTCACGTGCCATAGTGGGTATTGGCTCAAATTGATGAATACCCGTATCACTTGTTTCTTCGAAATCCTGTAAGACATTTTCCTCAAAGATATTGTTAGAATTATTTAAATTAGAGTTACCTCCTTTATCTTTGACTTCTTTGCTGTTGCTTTCATCGAACACAACATGAATTGATTCTTCTACTACCATAAGCTGGATTTGTTGAAAATTCTGTACGCCTTGCTAGTAGATGAATATCCCAAGAATATTCCTTCGTTTGCACGTTCGTCAAAAGTCTTTAAATAAGACTTTCCATTAACAAGTACAAAACATTTACACCCAAACGTATGAAAATAAGTGAGGTTGGGTTTCCTCCCTTTCCATAATTCATATGGTGTTTTGTTATATGACTTGTGGATTAGACTACGATTTTGAGTATAACACGTCGTATCGATAGCTTCTGCCCAAAATCTCTTTGGTAGATCAGCGGCTGATATCATGACACGTCCAGCTTCTTTGAGTATCCTATTTCTTCTTTCAGCTACTCCATTTTGTTGCGGCGTTCGTGCGTCAGATAGTCGGTGTAGAATCCCTTGTGAATTGCAATATGATTGAATCACACCATTCACAAATTCGGTTCCTTGATCGGTTCGAATTGTTGCAATCTTCATATCTTTTTCGACTTGTAGTTGCTTTAGTAGCTCTGGCAACTTTGATTCAACTTCGCTCTTTTTCTTTATGAATAGCGTCCATGTGTACCTGGAAAAATCATCAACAACAACCAAAGTATATTTCTTACCACTTACTTACTGGGTCTATTGGACCAAATAAATCCATGTGCAGTAGACTTAGAGGTCTTGATGTTGACTCTTGAGCTTTGGATTTGAATGATGCTTTGATTTGTTTTCCCTTCTGGCATGCATCGCAAATTTGATCCTTTTTGAATGCAACAATTCGTAAGCGATTCTTCACAATTGTTCCGGTGCCTTTTGTTTTTCCGTATCGATCATTTCCTCCAAAGACTACTTTTGGTCCATCGATACTTTTGAACTCAACTAGGCTAGCTTTATTGCTGATCATGTGTCGAGAGCATCCGCTATCGAAATACCAAGTTTCCTGCAATAAAATTAATTATTCTTAGGTACCCACACTTGTTTGGGTCCTTTTGTGTTAGTAATTTTTGGCATCCAAATCCACCTTGATCCCATTGATCCAAGAATAGGTGATTTGTAACCATTAAAAACTTTATAATCATAACACACTTGCGAATAATGCTTTGGTGCGGGTTGGGAAGCTGATAGTTGCTTGATTTTATGAAATAGAGCAAATCTGGACTTGGTCCATGGTTTCTCTTCAAGCGACCAATCTTCTTCTGAGGGATATAATCTCTCAACCCCAATTCTCGGAATTCTTCCCATATTCCTATGAGGTTTTATTGCACTTGACTCGTTGGTTCTCCTTTGAGATACAAATTTTTGTCTTTTTAGAATTTTGTTGTCTTGCCGAGATATCATTGTGTTGATTCGGCCTTGCAACATTTTTATGGGCATTAATTTTGTTTCCAACTTCTTGTCTCATTGTGCTATACTGACTTTTCACAAATTTTACCACTGGAACTTTATTAATTAAACTAGTAGTAGGATTAGTCAGTTTTTGAGGGGTTTTAGAACATGATGGATCGTAGCCTAGTCCGGCTTTATCTCCATCGGGTTTTTGCATGTTTACCATTTTATCCATTATTTTGGATGAATGTGTAAATGATGCGATTACTTCCCGAAGGTTATGTTCTCGAACCTCTCTAGCTTTGCACTCTTCTTGAAGTCGAACATTTTCGGCTTTCAAATTACTCATTTCATTTAGAGCATTTTGCAAATTTTGTGCCATTTCTTCCTTTTCAAGGATTAACGTATTATTGCGCTCTTTGATTTGAGTATGAGTGGCCATGACCTTTTGACAATCTTCCATGAGACTTTGAAATGATTCTTGAGTCTCGAAAGAGGTGTCAACGGAACTAAAGGAACTAAAAGAACTAGAAGATACCTCTTCTCCATTTTCGTATGCCATTAGGCATTCTTCGTGCTCAGATGTTTGACTTACTAAACATAGCAATGCCGTGTCTTCTTGTGATGAATCACTCTCGTCACTGGATGATTCTTCGGATTCGCTTGCCTCTAGCGGATCACTTATCAAAGCTTTTCGTTTATCCTTCTTGAATCTCTTTTCCTTCGACTTGTATTCTTCCTGCGAAGGGTTAGAAGCATTCGAATTTTTGCTTACCTTGGGGTGTGGACATTCGACCATAAAGTGTCCGGGTTTTCTACAATTATAACACACATTTGTGTTATCTTCGACCGGTTCTTTCCTTGGTCTTCTAAACGAGCTTCCTTATGTTGAACTCTTGAATTTGTTCTTTCGCATGAACTTTTTGAATTTCCTAACAAATAAGGAAAATTGTTCGTCAGATAAAAAATCATTATTTCCTACTGACCTTGATGTAGACGGTTGATCGGCCATTAATACGGATGTTCGTTCATCGCGTTCTTCTTCCATTCCTGTCTTCATCTCGAACTCGTACGCCTTGAGATCACTAAAGAGTTTATCCGTAGATAATGTCCTTAGATCTCTATGGTCTCGCATCGCGGTTACTTTCATATCCCAGTTGGAAGGTAGTCCACGCAATACTTTGAGTGATATTTCCTTCTAGGAGATGGTTTTGCCAAGATCACTTATTTCACCAAGAATCTTGACTAAGCGAGCTTCCATATCGGTAATACTTTCGTTAGAAAGCATTTTGAAATCTTCAAATCTTTTCATGGCGATGGTTAACTTGTTGTCTTTTTCTTGTTCGTCGCCTTCACCGATGCTTATGAGAGTATCCCATATTTCTTTTGCTGTGGTGCACTTTCGAATCTTTGGGAATATAGTGTCATCGACCGCTTTAAACAAAATATCCTTGGCAATATCGTCCAAGTTATTTCGCCCTCTATCTTCACTAGTCCACTCCATTTTTGGCTTTGGAACATATTGTGGAGCATTTGGATCTCGTGCCGTGGTGGTATTAACTTCCATGATCTTGATAGGACCAGTAGTGATGACTTTCCACATTTCATCATTTAAAGCAGATAAGTGCGCCTGCATACGTATTTTCCAATCATCAAATTTATCAAGTGAGAAAAGCAAATTTTGAGCAAGAACCATATCTCTCTTCATTTTGAAGTTTTGAGATATGCCTAGCAGTCAAGAAAAGACTTAAATAGACAACCGCTCTGATACCACTTGTTGGTCTCGAATGGGTGGCGAGAAGTCTAGAGGGGGGGGGGGGGGGGGGTGAATAGACTTCTCTAACTTTTCAAACTTTTCTTAATCACACCACACTTTGGTAACTTCAACTTCTAAGTAACAAGCATAAACAAGTTAAACAACTTAGAGTGTGCACAGCGGAATATGTAATGACAAAGTGTTATGCTTGATTGTGTGGTGCTCAAAGAGAGATTCTATACATGCAACACGTTAGAAACACTTGATATAGATTAAGGATGATGTATGTAAAATTTCACTTGCATGCAGACGTGGGAACTATCAAACACTAGTACAGAAACAGTCATTCGCGTCCAAAGTTAAGGCTAATTCGCGTCCAAAGTTGCTGGGACGCAGATGGCGGGGACGCTGATTGTATAGTATTTTTCGCGTCCAAAGTAGCTTTGGACGCGCAAAATGATTATTCGCGTCCAAAGTTGAAGAACTTTGGACGCGTATAGTATTTTTTTTTTAAATAAATAAACACTATACCGCGTCCAAAGTTTATGAACGTTGGACGCATATAGTGTTTATTTATTTTTAAAAAAATACTATGCGCGTCCAAAGTAACTATAACTTTGGACGCGTAATAGTAATTTTTTTTAAAAAAAATATTTTTTTTTATAAAACTACCAATATTTTCCTGTAAATAAATATTTTCCTGTAAATAAATGGATGCAAATTGGCCCAAATAGCAATTAGTTTAAAATGTAGGTTTAAATAATTTAAAGCACAACCCATATTGTAATTTTAAGTCCAACAATCCCATTTTAAGAAATATTTCATTATAAAACAACTATTACAAAAGTTTAAAAGAACAAATATAAACACACTAAGAGCATACATCTTCCCAAGTGGGGAAAGAAGACTTTAGAGAAGTGAAAGCCCTCCGAGCATTAACCTTAGTGGTGTTCTTGCCCACTAGACCATCCAGTACACTTTCTTGCCCACAACTAGCCAAAAGAGTGAATTACACACAGGTTTGTTTTCTTCTTGCATTTGTATATCTATCTTTAAATTTGGGGACATTTTTGACAGAGAAATTTCAAGAAAAGTAAAAAACTCATATAACAATGCATTCATTTCTTGAATTCTTCACAGATATAGCTATGCACCACGTAACAGTACTGAAGAAATACCTGCTAATATCCCAAACAAGAATCTTCCTGCCAGAACTTGAAGCTAAAAAAGTCTCATGCTTGTGATTCCACCTAACATGGCCAACCTCATCCCTGTCACAAGTTTCAGAAAAGCCTTTAATACTTGTTTTCATTTACAGAGAGATAGAGAAAGAAAGGGAGAACAATTATGCCCTAACGATTGAAAAATGTCATTTTATACCAAGCCCGCAGAATAAGTCACCCAATCCCTATCACATCCTTACAAAATGCTGCCCATAAACATCATAATGAACAATTTTAACAAAATAATTCTTCTCTAGCACAGAGAATCATGCAAGCAGTACCCTATAGCCTAAGCCCATAAACAGTAAGCTATCCTCAAAACTTAAAATAGTATGACATTCTTTTTACAGATCTCTGTTAACCTAATTTGTATTAAAATGAAATTATCATTCTAGAGTTTTAGTTAATGAGAATTAAACAAAGGTTAGAGATGGGTGACACAAAAAGTGAGTTATACTGCAGCTAGTGTGAAGACCAAATCAAACTAATTGACTTAGCTTAACTTGTAGTTTATGAAATGATCAGAGTTTGAAAAGTTAATTAAAAAACATATACTACCTGAGGGAGGACATCCATTTCAGCTTATTACTTCATTCCACATTATTGCTGCATGTACACGCATATAAAGTTAATTAAAAAACATATCACTTCTTTTTACAGATCTCTATTATTGCTGCATGTACACGCATATCAATAACTAAAAATGATGACAAAGAACTCATTTAAAGGATTTATATGAAAGGAATTAACCATTGAGCCAATAAATGTCTGGGTATTATAATTCCTCAAGCTTCATAAATATCTGAAATGATTTAAACCTTTTCCCTGTTGCATGTTCAAACCTCAACTAGGAAACCATGAAGAACTATTTCCCAAGCTATTAATGCAAAGACAAGGCAAAAGTGTAACATAAAAAGGAAGAAACAACATAAACACAATTAGGTGAAGGCCAAAGATCAGATATCCTTTACCCCTGGAATAAAGTAAAAACATAAAAATATAGAGTTGATTGTGTGATGAAGAAAGACATGAATAATGGTAAATAATACCGAGTACTCAGTTTCAGATTATCAAAGCAACATCACTTTTTGTCACGAGACAACTCTAACAAGACAATCAAACAAGAGCTCAATTTTGCAAGTTCTTAGCTCATCTGCATGGATATATATCAATTGAAAAAAATGCAGGCATATCATAAACTTAGGTTTACATGTAAGAGTTGGACATTAGATAAAGCATTTAAAAAGGAGTTATGGAGAAGAAAATTGGAGAGGTACTAAGAGAATCACTATCCAAATACTCACCATGATTCTACGTGACCAGGAAAATCTACCTCTGCCATAATATTGATGCCTGTAATAAGTTCATTGAGTGAGACAACATTGACAAAGAAGCAACATCTTAAACGTTTGGAAAAATATTTTGGGATGCCATTACCTATCATTTTTGCAAAGCTTCAATTTTGTCCACAGATAGAAATGGGAAATGCAAAATACAGTATTAGTGCCACATAAAAAATATCCAGGAGGAATCAATCAATTTCATTCTATTTAACAAGTCCGAGAGATTTAAATAATCCTAGAGGAAAATCATTACTCCATACTAAAGAAAATTCACAAATGAATGGGACAAAGAATATAAAAAAACAAACATGAATCTCACTTGACAATGTCGTACGCACCTTCAACAGTATAGCGATCCATCTTTGTATAAGCCCCTTTCCACAAATTATGATATGTAGGCACTTCTATAGGAAATGACTCTTCATCTATGATGTGCCAATGAACAACATTCTACTGAATTGAATAAACAATGTCAGAAATACAACAACAAAAATTCAAAGAACCAGTAAATGCAGTAGTTGACGTATCATACAAGTTTAGCATATGACATGGATTCAATAACTTGCTTGATAATTTCAACAGGCAAATAGTGTCTTGAGGTATCTGCCAAAGGAGAAACTAATCAGTGGAAGGCAATGCATGAGATGCTCTGCAGATTCAAAACACACAACTTGCTCATTGTCTGGGAGAGGGAAACTAAGACACCATCAGGGGGTTATTATACATCTTATCATATTTTAGCATAACAGTTCATACCTAGAATAAGCTTTCAAAAAAGATTTGTGCTTAATAAGCTTTCTATTCACTCCTAGAATAGATGGCAGCTCCTTTATCAGGAAAAACATCGAGAAAGCGGATAAGACAGAGAGACTCACCATTTTCACATAGGGAACAGATGCTGCTCAAATTGAATAACCGAACCGTAGATTCTGAAGAGCAGTATAGATCCGAGTGAAAGAGAGAACCAATGAAACAAATATTCAAAATAAATACACATACGTAGATTCTGAAGAGCAGCGGCGGGGACGTCGATCGGCGTGCGGTGGACGATGAAGATCAGCAGCGACAGTGCGGTGGACGGCGCTGGACGGGACGATGGAGAGCGGTGGACGGCGTCAACGATCGAAGTGAAGGATGAAGATCGGATCTGCGTCGACGACGGGAAGATGGAGAGATAGCGGTGCGTGCGATCTGATCGGCTGCTAGGGTTTTTTTGGATAAAAATAAAAACGCGCGTCCAAAGTACTGGCTTTGGACATGAATAATACTAGGCATTTAATATAGGCGTCCAAAATATAGAGCTTTGGACGCCTATACTGTTTTAAAATTAAAATATAAATAAATTAATTACAAAAATGCCACCGCACTACACTTTAGGCGTCCAAAGTTTTAACTTTGGACACGAATTATTCGATTTTATTGATATTTTTTGTACTAGTGAAACCCAGACAGATAAAGATACGTGATAAATCGTAAAGGGTTAGTTCACAGTTGATAATAGCATGCACGAAATATAATGAGCAGTAAGTAAAGAGAGTGAGAGCTAGATTTATAGTGGTTCGGAGATGGTGTAATTCTCCTACTCCACTCTTCTCCTTTCACTCCAAGGAGGAAATTCACTATTCTTCGATCACCCAGATACAATAGTGAATAAGTGTCCACGGCACTTCTCCGAGTGCTTCGCACAAAGCTACACTCTACCAAGGTTTTTCGCAAGCTCCTCTTGTTACTCCGCCTTCCCGAGTACTTCGCACCAAGCTGTACTCCTACACCACGAGAACTATGCACAAAGCTACGCTCTCACAGGGTTTTCACAAGCTCCTCTTGTTACTCTTCCCTTTACAACAAGTGCTACGCACAAAGCTACACTCAAACTGGGTTTTTCACTCTCTCTAATTACTCTACCCCTTTTCTACACTCAGTAGAAGTGTTTACAATGAAATACAATGATTTCTTTCTTCAGACTTGAATTTTTTCTAATGAAGATCTATTTCTCCCTTTACTGGCTAAAAATATTGCTTGATTTTCTCTTTGTAAATCACTTGTTATTAGCCGTGGTTCCCCGTCCTTGTCTTCAAGTCTGCTTGGACAATTTATAGCCAATGAAAGCTATTTGTCCGTTGATCAACTTTCGATCTCGATCGTCCATTTTGAATTGTAGTTGATCAAATAATTGTGCCAACTTGGTCTGCAAAGTCATTTCGCCGTCTGTCAGAAGATTTGAATAATCTTGCCGTTGCTCTTCATTAATCTGACAAAACTTTTCTTGGAGTGTGTAGCCTCCAAATTTGAATTAATCTTAGGCGTGACTTTTGAATTATTGATCTGATATGCCAAGTTGGTCAAATAATTTATCTGCTGATTCTTGCTTGAGTATAAAAAAGATTTCCTTCGTGAATCAGCTTCTTCGACTCCTTCTTCTTCCTTCGCAAAACTGGTGGGTTCCAAAAAGACATCCTGTCTAACAATTGTTGCATGATGATGTCATAGCTCGTTTGATGATGTCATAGCTTGTTTGATGATGTCATATCCCGATTTTATATCATGTCTTCAATAAAAATTACTTCAGGTGAGAGTCGAACCATGTATCATTTGGTTGTTTTATAAGGAATATCATGTTAGCTTCTCAATATCACTTCGTGATATTATTTCCCATTATCACTTCCTGCAATATCACTTCGTGATATTATTTCCCAATATCACTTCCTGTCTACCACTTCGTGATAGCTTGTCGAATGCTTTTTAAACAAAAAATGCTCTTAACAAGATTCAAACCATTAATCATCAAGTATCAAGTACGCTTCAATAAGTTTTCTTCCATCTCGTCCATCTTAACCTTTAATAATTCCAATGCTTCATAAATTTGTTAAGCTATGATCCCGCTTACATTTATTCTTCCATCAACGAAGTGTTCACGTAGGCTTCATGGCAAGGGTGCACCATACTTTGTGAACCAGAACTGACTCAAATAGAATAAAATTGGGGTCTACAAATTACATTTGGCTCATCAAAACTTATACAATATATTCCTAACATATATATATATATATATATATATATATATATATATATATATATATATATATATATATATATATATATATATATATATATATATATATATATATAGACTTGAGATTAAATGAGGACTGAACAAACATAGAGGACTGTGAGGACTAATATAACGTTTGCCATTACTCTATATGTCGTGTGCATGGCTTTATGTAGACGTGTGCCACAGTTTGTATGTCTTGTGCACAAATTTGTTAATTAATAGAGCCTGGGTTCGAAACCTGCTATTTACATGTATTCTTGTGTGCCATTGTGTATTAAGTTGTGTGCCTGATACTAATTTGTTGTGTGCCCAAATATTGGTCCTCAAAGTCCTCTATGTATTTCAATCCTCATTTGAACTATATATATATATATATATATATATATATATATATATATATATATATATATATATATATATATATATATATAGACTTGCGTTCAAATGAGGACAAGTATATTATAGAGGACTGTGAGGACATATGTAGTGTGTGCCATTAGTCTGTATGTCGTGTGCATGGCCGAATGTAGTCGTGTGCCACAGTTTGTATGTCGTGTGCATACATTTGTTAATTAATACAGCCTGGGTTCGATACCTGGTGTTTACATGTATTCTTGTGTGCCATTATGTATTAAACTGTGTGCATGATTGTAATTTGTTGTGTGCTCATTATTTGTCCTCACAGTCCTCTATATATTGTTGTCCTCATTTGAACTCAACCCTATATATATATATATATAAACAAAATCTTCCTATTTCATTTTCTCGTCCAAACTTTTGTAGTAAAGCTTATTTGGTAAGTAAATGTCAAATGGAAATTAATTAAAATCTATTAATTGGTAATATTGCATAATCAGTAATATTATGTATGGTATTATATTCTATAATATAATTGAAAACCGAGAAGAAAAATGGTGCTCTCTATGACGGATTCGCCGGAAGCCAGAGCAAGGCGGCCAGAAGTTCAAGATTTTCTTGAACGCAGCATAAAAAAAACTAAACAAGATGCTCCTCTAATACAAGCCACTGAGTCTGAACCTCTACAAGACGCGGTGCTCCAGAAGACGACAAAGACAAACAATGGGAGTCTGCCAGCAGTCAGTAATTACAAAGAAAGTCTGATGAACTTCGACCTCTACAGGAACGATGATCTTCCGAAGGAGACTGCCTCGACTGATGAAACAATGGTGGACGTTGGAAACTCGGATTGCCCCCGACTCAAGATCTCAGAAGAAGATAAAGAACGCATAAGGCGTCCATGGCGTCGTTCGCTGATCCTCCGCCTGCTAGGCAAGACTGTAGGGTAGAATTACCTCTTGAGACGCCTCCAAGCTCTCTGGAAACCCGAGACACACATGGAACTCATAGACCTTGATCAAGATTACTACCTAGCAAGATTTGAGTCACAAGATAATTATGATGTTGCACATTTCGAAGGCCCATGGATGATCTTGGACCACTATCTCGTTGTTCAACAATGGATTCCCAACTTCTACACACGGTCGAATACTACGGAGAAGACCCTGACATGGATAAGATTACCAGCCATCCCAATGGAATATTTTGATGAAAAGATACTGATGTGTTTAGGCAATATGATTGGGCGAGCAGTGAAAGCCGACACCACCACATGCTTGGCATCAAGGGGAAAGTTCGCAAGAATCTGCGTTGAGATTGATATTTCCAAACCTCCGGTTGAGAGCCAGAACCACTCAATTCAAAAAAACCCTTTATTCAACTCTCGTTTTACTCCCTTAAGAGATATAGAAGAAGAGCAACCTGAGAACACACCACCGTCAATGACTCAACCTCAACTGCGTATGCAAGATGAACCTTCGTCGTCTTCATAGCCAGGTGGCACCTCCATGAAGAACGTGATACAACAATCATCACCCACATCCAGTCCCATGAAAATCAGGATCCCTAGAAGAGCAACGCCCAAAGGGAGTGGGGACAGAGTAGCCACCCCCCGTAGGGCGGCGGCAGAAGGTGAGCATGTATTGGTGAGAGGATCAACCAAGAGAAAGGCTGTGATCAGGTCCACGATCCATCATCGCCCAAAGGATCCGGGAATAAAATCACCACCACTGGTTGGCTCTCCTCTGTTCAATGTTCAGCAGGAGGATGGTCTCGATTTCTATGACTGTGACACTCCAAAGGACGCTATAGAGCAGGACATTAATGTTGATGGCCAGTTTGGCCTTGATGCGGATTCTCACATGCTCTCTTGAGCCCTCTTTTCCCTTCTTCTTACCCTATATGATGAATGTCCTAGTGTGGAATTGTCAGGGTACGGCGTCACAGACGTTTCATCGCACCCTTCACTAACGCCTTAGTGAATACAAACCAACCATCGTTTGCCTCTTGGAACCAAAGGTTTCAGGATGTCATGCGGACGAAATCTGTTTTAGGCTAGCTTATGATCAATGGCTTAGAGTTGAAGCTGTTGGCTTCTCGTGAGGGATCTGGGTGTTGTGGAAGAACACCATTACTTTGGAAGTCCTCTGCACTCATCCCCAATTTGTAGTTCTAAGACTCACCGATTTGAACTCCCAATCTTGGAACCTTTCTGTGGTGTATGGGAGCCCCGACC